ATTACCTAGATAAATAAATACAAACATTAGAATGAGCCTATAAGTTAATAGCAGAAAGAAAACAACCTCATAGAGCTGAACATCCTTGGAATTGCCAAAGGCTTCAGAAAAAGGTGTGCACCAAGTGTCAATCATTTTCTGCCAAGGAAAAGGATTAAAATGCAGCAGCAACAGCCAGCAACATCAACAACAACAATCAGAAACTGAGGTAGCAACCAAAAATTCTTTCTTTTTCTTTTTTTTTTTTAATTCTTGCACAGTCATTTTAACTTTTAACCACTCCATTGCCACTGAGGCCCTAATATGCCTCTAATCTCTACTATAAAAAAATGGTACAAGAATTCATCTCATCTAATTCATAATCTAACCAGCATTTTATTTTTCAAGATGATTTCACGATAAAAGATGTATAAGGTATTAAGGCACCTTTCTCGGTCTTTGGCTATTATCAAGGGATCAAGTATGGTAAGAGTTTAAGGTAATGTCGTTTGAAATATATACTAAAATATATCCAAAACAAACATTGCAAAAAGAACCATACCTGGGAGCTAGCTCTAAATGACAGACAGACTAAAGATACTTTTGGGACAGCCAACTTCTTGGCATCAACCCGATCTCCATTCGAAACGATGGGCAGTTTTAACGTTCTACCATCAGAATAGGTTACTTCTAAGCCAGGAAACTTCACGGCTGCCATTGCAGGAATAATAATTTTGTTTGCCATTGCAATCTACAAAAACCAACATCAGAATAGTTCCAATAAATAAAATTCTCTCACAAAGTACTTAACTTTTGCTAGAAATCAGCTAAATTTAGGATTTAACATTTTCCTTTTACAGATTTAGAATTGATATAAATTTTAATGAATAAAAGACTAAATATATACCTTACCACCATGTTGTTTGAGCTCAGAAATGTCGGCGAAATATCCTCTATTCATTTCATCGGCACTGCCCTAAATCAAATTAAACCAATATCTATTAAAACAAGATCAAATGAAAAGAACTCAAAAAAGAAAAAAAAAAGACAAATACTTAAACTTACAGTCTTGCCCGTTCTTTCTCGATTGCTTCCTTATTTCCAAGCTGAAAACAATTAAAAAAAAATCAAGAATTTTAACATCAAGTATTTACCGAATAAACAAAAATTCAGATTCGTTTTAAAAATAAAAAAAAAGTAGAAATATGCCTGGTAGATGTCGAGGAAGCGATTGGAGGATTTTCGAGCGAAATGTTGAGGAGGGAAAGACAAAAGCTTTGGTTCATGATTTAGGAGTTGTTTACAGGTGGGAATCGAAGCTCTTGTTTGGCTTACCACTCGATTTACTCTTAACATTTTCGATTTTTGAATTCAGATTTCTCTTCTTCGCTTTCTGTAACCCCTAATAAGGCACTGGACGGGAAATATATCACGGGCCCCCGCTTAAATTTCAAAACAAGAAGTTTGGTGATTTGGGCCATTCCATGTGCAGTTGGGCCCAATTAATTATTTTTAACAAGGGCCCAATTCATTTAAGAGGTCAAATATATATATATATATATAGAGAGAGAGAGAGAGAGAGAGAGAGAGAGAGTAGCTATAAGAAACTAGGAATTGAATCTTGAATCTAATTTAGTTTAAAAGAGTAACTATCGTCTGATCAACGCTTAGGTTATTTCTCACTGGTTCTATGTTTTTAAAAAGCTATTGGATTCATTTTATTATATTCTTTTTTCTTTTGTATAAGAGAAATATTACAAATGAGGATTGAATTAATTAGAATTCGAACAAGCCTACTTGTCTCATTGACCAAAATAATTGTAGTCAAAGGATATATTATTGGGTCTAGAGTATATTTATTCTGCTATCATTTTATTATGTGATCAGTATTCTTTCTGAAAAAAATTATATAACTTGATAGAATATGCAACGTCTATACTTATAAACTTAATTTTTAAAAATTTTTTATCTATTGTATGTGAGATTGAAACACATGATTAGCATGACATTAAGTTTTGGAAATATATTAATTTGTGGTTATATTGATGGATCTAATTGACTTCATCTTATAGTAGGTTACTCCAATAATTTCTTATTGATCAATCTATTTGACTTCATCTAATAACAGGTTACTCCAATAATTTCTTACTTTGCAAACAGTTTGATAATATGTTGGATTAAAGATGATGGTGCCCTTATAGAGTACTGAAAGCTTTAAAACTTGGTCTTTAAAACTTGGGAGGCAAAGTGAAAAGATTGAATAAAGAAGTGTTTAAAAGGAAAAACCATCAAATAACCAGGTTCTGATTGCCTCATTCACCACCAAGAACATACCAATATCAGCCAAAAGGGAGGCAGGGTCCTTCAGAAATCCAGATTCATGTATGGACTGGAGAGAGAGAGAGAGAGAGAGAGATAAAAGAAAGCATCCCAAAAGATCAAAGAATATATATAATGGCCACGCCTGCAAATGCACCACTGAATTGCTTTTGTAGCCCAAATGACCAGCAACCACTCTATTTGGAGGGCCATATCCTTAATTCATCAAGGTTTTGAAATGAGCAAGTGTTCTCCTTCTTCCCATCTGCCATCATCATTATAAAAGTCATTCATGTTTTGTTTTTTTTTTTGTTCTTTAATGAACCCGATTCTTGTACAAATATCAGATGCTTTGCACACTTTCTGCAGTTTCTTTTCTTTTCCTCTTTCAAGATGCCTAACCCTAAACTTGGAAAAGGGAATCAAATTGAGTGGAAGTTATTATAGTTGACTGGGGACTCCACTTCTGGTATTGGGGCATTGGATAAGTGCCCTTATTGGCCTACCAAATGGAAATATATGAATATTGGTAGTGGTCCTTAATAGGGGTAGCATACCACCCAAAAGATACTAGGTTCCAGCCATTCTGTGCCTTTCTTGTCCTTTGTTCCTGAATATATACTAATTGTTTAAGCTTAATTATAAACTCTGTTTATCAAAGTGCTGACAATCTTTTCCAAATTCCCCTCACAAACACAACCAATGTGAGTAAATGTATAGGAGTAGTTCTGATGTGTTATTATGGTTTGGTAGAGTCTTTGTAATGAGATCTAATGCATATGCATATACATAATTAATATTATTTCATTCATGGACTACAGTAGAATGCCAGTAGTCTGATAAGCTAGCTATTTGGATTCATAGATATAGCACAATTCATTATCCTTACAGTACAGTAATTTTGATGTGGCCACTTAATTTATTCTCTTTGATTCTTATCGAGTAGCTCATATCATGATCAGACTCAGGTTCGATCTCTGAACTCAAGCAGATCAGTGTAGTACTTTGCTAGCCAGCCCTCAATTATCTGAACTTCAGTTTTTCGTTGCTTGACCAACCACTGTGGATCACTTTTCTTCTCTGGCAGTATATCCAAGCAATGAGATCCTGCAAAAAAAGTTCACAGGTTAATGTAAGTGCATGTTGTGATGTGACAGACACTAAGACATAGTCCTATATTGTAAGAGAAGCAAAGTACCATTGATTGTATAGACTGCAACAACACTACCTGATATGTTCTCCAACACCCTGTGATAAGATGGAAATTGTCATTAAGCTATGTCAAATAATTAGATGCAAATGATCTGGAAGAATTAAATATAGTATATAAATTGAATATTAATTTCTTTTTCTCACCCGCCGCTGCTGTAGGGATCTCTCAGGCCATTAGAGAAAATGATGTTACTAGCAAACCTATGGAGAATCAACTTTAAGTCCTGCCAATGATGGGAGATTTGAGGGCTTAGGTATAAGGTTAGATAACCGAAGATCATTAATAAATGTAGAGGAAGTTATCAGGACAGCTGTTTGAATTAAACATAATTGAAAAAGAGATCAAGAACACACATGGCCTCCATAGTAAGTTGTCACCCAATGCGGCTGCGGCTGGACACCAAATAAGCTCTTGCACTTCCTTATGAACTTGTTTAGATTGAATGGCGCTGGTGGGAACATAGAATCATTGTTGCCATGGCCTATGGGCATCACCATCTCACTACATGTCTGTAAAGAGACCGGCCATGTAAAATAAGTTAATTGGCAATTGCATGCAATCATGAGAGAGTTAAAGGAAGATCAGTGGCATTCACATCCAATACAATTTCATACCAGGCACTTAGCCTACTACTAGTGCTATAATTTTATAATTCAAATTTGAGCATTCAAGATTACATTCCTATGAGTTGGAAAAGTCAGTTTTTATGCTCATCTTTTTCTTAAATTCTAGATGTTATGTCATAAATTAAGGCTCCAATACCATTGTAGAGAAACAGTCATTCTAAAAGTTTTATAAGCATCCTTGAATATGTTTTAACAGGTTGGCATTGTTGTCGTCACCACTATATAGAGTGATGGTTAGAACTAAAAGGATGACATAAATGTATGAACCAGGGGCATGATCAGCTAGTCACCTCTCACCTGCCATCTCCACCCCATGTATGTTTCATCAGTTGGATGATTGTATTCGTTCATGTCATAGCATGATTTATTTCCCATGTAAGCAACAACACCGGCAAATATTCGGCCGAGTATATCAGTTCCTTTAGGAGCTCCATCAATGCCACCACAGACGATACTAAGGGGATAAGTGGGAGGATGATCATATTGAGCGGCTTCAGAATATATTGAATCTAAGTAGTCCTTGAGATCAAAAGTTCTCTTCAATTTTCTGAATAAGAAGAAAAGACAGAAGTAAATATATAGGTTGTTGGTGCTTATAACATTAAACATGACATGTTGTCAACAAGAGTCATAGTTTACTTACTTGCAAGTTTTGAATTTCATGCTGAGGATTGAGAGACCATTAGACTTGGAAGCAACTTTATCAATTTCATCCCATGATTCTCGAATGGTTTCATAGCAACCTTCACTAGTTTCCTGTCCATCATAGAACAAGTTGTAACTATATTAAAGGAAGGGAAAAGAAAAAGGAATGGTTTATAGTCAAACGAGAATCAAAACTAAATCGACCAATTGGAATTAGTTTGATGCTTTACTTTAAAATCCTTGGTCACAATTGCGTAGTAACCAACTTGTGGTGCAAGGTCATCAAAGTAAAGAATTGGAGCTGAGGAGGCAAGAGCTCCAAGAGCAACATGCGGATATTTTAGCCGAAACCATGCCGCAAGCACTGCAAAACGTATAGAAAATAGCTTTCAATCTACAGGTATGAATATGGTCATAGACCAAAGAAAATTTCCGTTAACTGTTTAAATAAGGTTTCGTAAGCCACTTACTTCCCCCATATGATCCTCCAATGACAATGACCGGAGAGTTCTTCGAAGAGAATGCTTTCTTTATGTGAAGAAGAATGGCAGCATAATCGGCTATAGCTTGCGCTGAGGTGAAATAACCCCGAATACTGGCATTTCTCAGAGCTGCTTCCCTTGATCCGAACGGTATGGATTTTCCATAGAACCGGTGCTGCCAAGAATGTCATAGTTTCTGAGTACTGAGAACAAGAGGAAGACGACGGGGAAGAAAGAGTTTTAACTTTTACCTCTATATATACTAGTAAGGCCTTGAAACGAGGGGCATTATCAGTGAGAAAACCGATACCGGATAAGTCATTATCCAATGCTTCTTCTGCACCAAAAAACACCAAGATTGGTGCACTACTATTTGCACCACTCCAGTACTTAGAATTGACTACATATCTTTGTGGAAAGGTGGTATAACTTTCCGGTCTGTAGTTGAAGTGATCAAGTGTCTGGCTGTAAAAGAAGGTCTTGAAATCTTTTGAAACTGAAGTGGATGTGATTTTGGGTTCAGTCCGGGTTGTTCTTCGAAGTGCTCCTAGCCTTGGGATGCTGAACTGTGTTCCAGAGACACAGGAAAAAGATATTAACGAAAACAAAAGCAACTGATGAAATGAGTGCCTAAGAAAGCCCATGGCTTTGTTCATATGCTAGAACGGTTCCGAGTTCGTTTCTTGAGCTCTGCTAGTTCAAGAGCATCGACCCTAAATTTATAGGATAAGAGTTGATAACTATTAAATCATAAATATAATATAAAATTTATAAAATAATATGTTAATTTCGTAATCCAGTGAGAGTCTGGCATGTGTTTTATTCAGGGATTAAAGAAAGATGCTGTTGGCTCAATAGAAATCAAACTGTCTCGAGGGTACTGCCACTTTATCATTGAACCCCACACTGTTCATCACATGGGGGGGGGCGGGGGGGTGGGGTGTGGTGGGGAAGGAAGAAAAGAACAGAGGAAGAAAGCATTCAATCCTTTTTAAAATTTATGACAACCCCTGATGACGACACAACCTCATTACATAGAAATTTCCAGAATATTTAAAAGTCTGGTCGCCGAATTTGGAACAGTAATTGTTCTTTAGGGATTATTTGAGTTCAAATTTGAGTGACGAAATAATACTGGCCTTCCCTTCCTTTTAAGGCTTCTTTTTGTTCCAAAATTGCCTAAAATATTCTCAACTTAAAGCAAAAAGTTGACCTCAAGATTAAACTCTAGAAAAAGTAACCTAAAACTAAACCTTGTGATCTATAAATATTTGATATATAGCTTGTTTTCTTATGGATTAATGTATATAAATTAGATGCCGATCAAGGTACTGGGAAATGACCTTCCACTAAAGAATGTTTCCTGTAACTTTCTGCCTTATCATTTAAAGATTACTAGTTGCAAAGTAATTTCGAGGTAGTTGATTGACTTCAACCATCTAATCTTTTTAACAGTATGGCCAAATAGTGATCATCATTAAGAAAGTGTATATATATAGGAAAATGGGCAATATAGAGGAAACAAGAGTCAGTTGCTTGTCACTGGAGCATTTTCTCCACACCTCCAAACATTATAAAAGTTGCAATAATCTTCCTTTCTATTCAGTTGGTGTTTTGATTGATCAACTCTAGCCTAGCTATAGGGTGATAATCTAGTAGGTGTAGAAATTCTTTATCTAAGTGTTACTACCATTGTTCTTTTATTGGTCCATTATTGACCACCAATCAAACATCTCTAATGATGCTAATTGCACTTCATCTTAATCGATTGTTTCCTTTTCCTAGTTTAATATGGCTAAACATATATGAAAGTGGGTAACCAATTTTTGCCAACTCTCTCAAAATAGATTATTGTTTGAGTATATTGGACCCAAAACCTATTTATACTCTCATTTTAAAAAATTTAAGGCTTGTTTAACATTGCGTTTGTCTTGTCCAAAAATGTTTTTGATTCAAATGAAATACCAAATGCATATTGATTTGGCTTGTGGTTGACATTTAAAGGATCTATTTCTAATGTTGTTTAATTATATATTTACTCGCTTCTGAATAAAAAAAAAGGTTACTATGCTTATTTAGGAATCTGTCACAAAGTCTTCATTATAGTGTTGAGTAAATTAAATCCATTAAAAAAATATATCTTATTTGAATGAATTGAATGAGACAAAGTAAAGTGTCTTAAATAATGAGATATTTAAAACAAAATATTTATATTTTTGAGATTACTAAAAAAGGTATTTGGTGAGTATATTATATGCAAAAGTTGGTTTGTTTTATTACATGGATCAAAAGCACACTAATAAGGTAACAATATATTCTTTTATTATAAATATGGATGGAGATTATTAATTGAAACTAAAGCTTAATGTTTTTGTGGTTCTCTACTTAATGTTTAGAAAGTGAGTCTAATAGATTGCAATGCGAAATCACATAAAATCATATTTTTGAGAATTTTTTTGGTAATAAAATCACACTTACAAGAAGTATAAGATTTAGTTTAGTAATGTTACTTCTAACTCTATAATTATAAAGGAAAGGATAAGAGATGTAAATTACACTAATACCACCTTTCTGGTTAAATTATTACAAGTAAAATAATGTTCTACCCTTATAATTATTTAGGATTGACTATTTAATAAAAGTTCAAAGAAATTTCATTTTTTTCTTATATTGTTTGGTGTCTTTTTAGGATGTGTTTACGACTTAATGTTGCCCAATAAGTGGTTAGAAAATTTAAAATATATAATATTTCAATAATTAAATGGTGTTGAGTTCTAATAGATTATACACACACACACACACACATATATATATATATATGTCTATCTCAAATCAAGCACTCTTTTTTAATGAAATTTCATATACAAGTAAAAATTACAATTACAATTAAATGACTCTTAACATGTATGACATAATTATAATATTTGATATAAAAAATTAAAATGAAGTAAATTAAACAATAAATAAACCAACAAACAAAATAGTATATATATAATTGGACAAACTTCTACATAAACTAGTTCAAATTCGCACATAATGTGACTTGAATTATAGGACCTAATTAAGATTCTAGGATCTTTTTCTTGAGAATGCCCTATTGGCATCGAGTAACAATTGGTTGATGTAATGGTATCTATGTAATAATTTATATTTTCATTATTACATTAAGTTTAATTGATGTTTAAATTATTTATGGAATTCATCATTTATTTATTAAATTTAATGGATAATTCTTTTATTCTTATGTAAAAAAAATTCTAAATCTAAAATTTATTACAATACCGATTTAAATAAAGATTGACATGATCACCACGATACTGGTTAAAAATCTTATTCGATTATATATTGTTTTGATAAAAAGATTTATTTTGCATATTTGTTGTTTTTATTAGTTACACATTATTGAAATTCAAGGAAAAGACAAATATATACAATGAATGCACATGCCTAACAAAAAAATAATGAACTTTTCAAACATAGATTAAATGCTTATTACTGAAATATACATTGTATCTAAACATGGAACTACATAAACTTTGGTTGAATTAAATCAATAATTGATGTAATTAAATAATTATTTATGCAATATGTTTTACATTAAGGATTATTTATTGTAACATTATTTTTATTATGATAATATTACTTATTAAATCATACACGTAGAATACTCGTATAGATATAGAAAGGGTGAGTGCAAATTGCTCTGTGCAATAACTAATTATGACTTCCTTTTTTCTCTAATAAGTGACGTCTTCTTTGCTCTAATTGATCCAGCCAATAACTTTCCCACGTTTTGTTGTTATCTTTTTTTAATTTTTAATTTAATTAAGTACTTTTCAATCATACCATAATTGCAAGGGTTAATGCTATATGTCGAAAAGTTTAAGCTGAAAATATATAAACAAATTAAGGTCCCCTTAACGTGATCTATATTCTATAGTAATGAAGATAAAAGATATTAATATATATATGCGCGATGGTGGATGCCTATGCGGAGAAGTGTTATTGCTATGTAAAGTTCACCAAAAACCACATGGATTAGCTGATTCTCTCTGCTTATTTCTTTATAATTAACTAATCAAACTTCGAAATGATGAGGAAACCCACGTAAAAGCGCATAAGAGGAACCCATCTCTTTGCCAGATGATGTCACCATTGTGGAAACATATAGGTCAATATACCTAACTACATTCATTTTCTTCGTTAATTTCATCTATGGTCTTGCATGTTTGGCCTCTTGACCAAAGATTAGGGAACGAAATGATCTGTTCGGTTCATGGAGATGTAATCCATGGGAGGAAGGGGACAAAGGAAAATCTTTATCACGACAAAACATCTTTCTCTCCATTTGAATATCAACCGTTGGCTAGAGTTGACTCTGCAACTGGGAAGGTCTCAAAAGCAAAATATATAGTGGTCACATATCGGTAACACTACCATAAAATAGATGATGGGCTCTTTGGTATGAAGTGCTTCTGAAGGCCATCTTTCATCATCTTTTTTAAAGATATTCTACTTTCTTTTTTTTTCAGTACTTCTATACAAGAAAAGCTGGCCTTAAAAGAAGAACAAATGGGTAGCTGTTATTCCAGTTTGACCGAAGAATCTGATCATGTAAGTGGACCTTAATGGGGGAGGCATGCCTTCCAACATTGATCATGCAAAAGTTGTAGAATTTTTTGGCCTTCAAGAGAAAAAAAGGGGCACCAGACTTTTGATTATTTTGACCCACAAATGCTGTAACAGTTTTCATTAGCCAAAAAAGTTTTTAGAATGAGCAGAAACTTGAATGTTTTCATATAGGTTGAAGACTAAATTAATCAAACAACACAACTCATTGGAGGGAAGTCCTACGGGTTTCTTCAGGGTAATTGAGGCTATCTGATTCATATGAAAGAAAGCAAGCTATTCATCATAAATGGAGATGAAGCTAAATGAAACTATGCAAATGAAAACAATGATTTTGATCCATATATATATATATCAGGAATCTGGTGAGATAATGCTTTTCACTTTAATTTGGATAACCATAAGTCGAGAGTAAGACTTTAAGTCTCATGTATAATGCTGATCAGAAGAGTAAAAATTGTCATCATTTTGATGCAAAAGCACAATGGAAAATGGTCCAAATCAAGAGTCATTTCAATCTCTGCAACAGATTAAGCCTACCACTTTTCTCCGTTCTTATTGTTATGGCAACTGCAGCCACCAAGCCACTCCCAACTTTCACCCTGGATATAAGCACACACCTGCATCTGCCGAATTATCCAGGCTCAGGTTAATCTTTGTCATGTCTACCAGCGTAATTAGGCCTATTGAGATTAACAGTGGGGAATATTGGAGAAATGTGGCAAGCACTAGGCATTAAAATGAATTCTTGGAGATTGGCTCTTTGCATGGAAGCTGATGATTGCCGAACAAAGAGTTTGATATCTGTCAACTGTCTAGTTTTAGAGATGTGAAGAAAGTTCAAAGCACTTTAAATCCTGACAAGAATACTAAGGAATTTTAGGATATGACAACTAGTATTTCTTTTAAGTGGTCCCAAGGAAGTTTGGACATTTAAATTTTTATGTTGATTTAATTATTGCCATTCATTCATATTCTGAAACGTGAAAACGTATCGAATAATTCATGAACATATGGTTGGAATGGCCTAAAACAAAATCAATGAATTTCCTTACACAGTAAAAACAGGGAACAT